ATTTTATTTTATTTTTTGTTGTTTGGCTGAGTTCTTGTAGCATTGAGAAATCCCGATTTGGCTTTCATTCATTTTTCAGATGAAAAATCCAAATGTACATTTTTGAAAGGTTTTGATGAGTTTAGAATCATTGTAACCAAATGGCGAGATTTAGTAAATTTATCCGTTTTCTGATGCCTGATTTTAAAGTGCTGGTAAAATGAATTGGTGCTTGGTATTGCTTATTCACTCTAGTTTCTGGCTAGCAGTCCTTCAGAAGAGAATCTAAGCACAAGCACCGCTTAATATTTCACTTTCAGGCTCTCCTCCACTCATCTCATATGTACTATGAAGCCAAACATGCATTTGCGAACCATGGTGTCAAGTTCTCTCAGCTAGAAATTGATCTTCCTGCCATGTTGGCTCAAAAGGACAAAGCAGTATCAGGCCTTACTCGTGGAATAGAAGGCCTCTTCAAGAAGAACAAAGTAAACTATGTGAAAGGCTATGGCAAGTTCACCTCTCCCTCTGAAATTTCAGTTGACACACTTGATGGAAACAATACCATCATCAAAGGAAAAAACATCATTATTGCCACCGGTTCTGAAGTCAAATCTCTCCCTGGAGTCACCATTGATGAGCAGAAGATTGTCTCATCGACTGGAGCTCTATCTTTACAAAATATTCCAAAGAAGCTTGTTGTAATCGGGGCAGGCTACATCGGGCTGGAGATGGGCTCAGTTTGGGGACGTCTTGGATCCGAAGTGACTGTTGTTGAGTTTGCACCAGAGATTGTACCCACCATGGATGCCGAGATACGAAAGCAATTCCAACGCATGCTTGAGAAGCAGAAGATGAAATTCCTTCTCAAAACAAAAGTTGTAGGGGTTGACACATCTGGAGATGGTGTCAAGCTCACACTTGAAACTGCGGATGGTGGCAAGCAAAGCACACTTGAAGCAGATGTAGTTCTAGTTTCTGCTGGTAGAATCCCTTTTACAGAAGGACTCGGCCTAGAACGGATTGGCATTCAGACAGACAAGGCTGGAAGGATCACTGTTGATAAAAAGTTCACAACTAGTGTTCCTGGAGTTTTCGCCATTGGGGACGTGATACCAGGGCCCATGCTCGCTCATAAGGCTGAAGAAGATGGCGTTGCATGTGTGGAATTCATTGCTGGAAAACAAGGCCATGTTGATTATGACTTGGTGCCTGGAGTTGTGTACACTCATCCAGAGGTGGCTTCTGTAGGTAAAACTGAGGACCAGGTGAAGGCCACTGGAGTTGATTACCGTGTGGGCAAGTTCCCGTTTTTGGCAAACAGCAGGGCAAAGGCTATTGATGATGCTGAGGGTATTGTAAAGATAATAGCCGAGAAGGAAACCGACAAGATTCTTGGCGTGCACATAATGGCACCAAATGCTGGGGAACTTATCCACGAGGCAGTGCTCGCATTGCATTACGGAGCTTCAAGCGAAGACATCGCTCGCACATGCCATGCCCATCCGACAATGAGCGAGGCATTGAAGGAGGCGGCCATGGCTACTTATGACAAGCCCATTCATATCTAATGTGAGTCTGTTTATTTCTTTATCTTGCAATTGTGTTGAAATAATTCTGGGATTAAGTAATAGGAGACCTCATTTAAAGTTATCATTTCTCTTGCAATATTCATTCGAGAATGAAATTTTGTGGGATCTTTCTCTTCTGCTCATTGAGAATTTTTTTTTTTTAAATGTCTGAAAACTGAATGTGGGTATGTAATCCAATGGTGATATTTATCCACCGAATGCTTTTTTTATTCACTCTTGGAGTTTTTTTTTGTATTACTTTTTAATTGCATTTGATTTTGCTTTTAGGGTTTGTGAAGTAGCTTAGAATTTTGTGGTTAATATATCTCTTGAAGCTCTCGGCCATTGATTCGATCTGACCGAGCAAATTTGAAAGGGCAAGTGCCCTCCTTAACCTTCCCTTCCGGGAAGGGGGCACCAGAAGGCTGCCGGGTTTTTGAGGAAAAAAATGTGTGTTTTAAAATTAGCAGGTCGCGCATAATTGGATGATAAGAAGATCAATTCCAGAGTCGATTCGCTCCCCCGAAGCCTTTGGCCATTGATTTGATTCGGATGAGCAGATCCAAAAGGGCAAATACCCTCCCCAACCTTCCCTTGCGGGGAGGGGGCATCAGAAGGCTGCCAAAATTTTGGGGAAAATATCAAATTACCAAGTAGTGCTTGAAGATCAATACCAGGACGATTTGCTCCCTTGAAGCCCTCGGCCATTGAATCCTATCCAGTTTGGAGGATTTGAAAGAGCAAGTGCCCTCCCTACATCTCTTCGTTGGGAGGGGTCTCTGGAAGCTACCGAAATATAAAGTGACAGAGAATATGACTTAATTAAAATCATAGGGAACCTGACTTAAGAACAATAAACAGGGAATTAAACTTGCAAACTGACCACAGAGAACATAATTTGATGCTTAAGAATGAAAATATGATGTGTGTGATAATGAAAATCTAACATAAATGAATGAACTTGGAACTTGTGAGCCACAAGAGACCCTTAATATATGTTCGACAGTTTGCTTACGAATGACAAGTATGACATGCAAGTGAATGTGTCAGTTAATTATGTCAATCCACTTACGAATGAATACACAAACATGCTTGTAATCAACAACAATTAACTAACGGACAAGTGCATTAGTCCGTTTATGAGTGATGTCAACGGATATAGCAACTTGCAAGTTAACATGCATAAGGAAATCAATACTGAGTGCAGCTCGACTAGTAGCCCACATAAGCATGCAAATGAACACGCTAAACTTGTTCGTAAATAATAATACTTCTTACAGACATACGTAGTGCGACATACGATAATAAAATTATTTACGAGCAACTATAAGAGATTCATCAGTGAATAATAGCTCTTCTGCAAGAAGCAGCGAGTGACTGTAGCACAGCGCAGCGACCGCCTACAGACAATGTAAAATCTACGTTGAGCGTAGTTCATCTATAGATAATAGCTGGTGGTTTCTAAATGTCCATTGCATGGTTGCAAATAAAGTTAACAAATCTTGAAATACACGAACAATCAATCAACATAAAGCAACGGATGACCTGTAGCACAACGCAACACCACCAGATTCGTAACACTTGTACAAGCAGACAAATGGTGATACCTCTATAATGACTCTAATTTATACACTAAAATCATTCAAGCATATGCTTCGATTGTCACATTTGATTCCTAAATCCAATATCTAGAGAATACTACACGGGCAAAATATTCCAAGTTTCATCCTCCTTGAAAGGATTGGAGTTGACCTAATTTGAATTAACAAATGAATGCATAATCATCAAATACAAAAGCTATCTAAATGAAATTCACCATAAAACACAAATATTTGATTTTAGCATTCATATATTAATAAACTATTAAACCTGATCCTCTATTTGCTGGGGAAACATAGTTGACAATATTCAAACAATCAACCATCTATTCCTCGATGATGGTCGTGTTGAAAGCTAATCTCATGCGGAGTGGATCCCAAATATTTAAAATGTGTCATAAATTCCTATGAAAA